TTCTTAGCCACAAATTTTGTGGCGGCATGTGATGGTGTGTGGTGCTTCATTAGATTAGAATTACTTGCCACCGACATGGAGAGACTCTTTCTTCCTGGGCATGAGTTGCACGTTACATAAACATTGTTGCCTTTCATTTCAACAAGGGAGACGTAGTGCTTATATTTCTAGTTTGTGAACGCTACCTTTGAACTCGTTGGACTTCCCATCGCTCTGACTCCTGGTCGTTGGTGTGTGCGTCTGTGCATGTGCTTGTGTGTGAACACCTGCACTACTCTGCCTCTGGTTGGCAAACAATGGATATTTGCTCTGCCTAAGCGCCCCCCCCCCCCCAGTAACAGTAACGGCGTTGTAATGGGGGAAACAGTAATTCGTTTGATTACTCGTTACTAGCAAAAGTAACACCGTTAGTAGTGCCGTTATACCCATCACTGATCTTTAGTGAGAGAATGCACAGGTAAACATGTTTTCAGTCTAGACTTAATTATGGATACTCTTGGATAGGGTTGGGTATCGTTTGTTTTTTTACGACACCGATGCCAAATCGATACTTTTAAAATGGTATATGGTTAATCAGAATCAGAAAGAGCTTTATTGCCAAGTATGTTTGCACATACAAGGAATTTGTTATAGTGTCACAAGCTTCCAGTACACGGAGACAACAACAACACACAGATAATAAAAGTGAGATGTGAATAAAATACACATGTGTCACGTGCTTGATGTTAAGAAGGGATGATACCGTAACATTTAGGTGGGACAGCTGTTACTGGGTGTGGTGCGGATCGAAGACAATACTGAGCGTTTTGAGAGAAGATACAAGTAGTTTGGTCTAACAAAGTCTAACCATAGGAAAGAAAAAGGAACAAAAACATGAGTGTCACCCAAATTAAAGAAATAAACAAAAAACACAACACTCCTTATAAGTAACCTCTAAACTAACTACCAATATAAAGTATGAAAATAAAACCGGAATCTTCAGCGTATGCGACGGCCAAACTAAACTCTCATAAACTAAAAACAAAAATACAAGAGTGGCATAACACTCACAAGCCTGAACTAACAGAATATAAACTAACCTACTGAAAAAACAAAACAAGCCATATAACAACGACCGACTAAATATTCTGATCATCACAGAAGGGAAAATGTGATGGAGTAGCTGGACACACCAACATGCATTCTTAACGTTAACTAGAAACGTAATCAGGCTGGAACTCTAGAAAGGACGTCCGCGATATCTTTCACAAAGAGTTCAATACAAGTCAATAGCTAAGAATCAAATCTCTAAATAGATTAAAACACACAGCAAGATACATGTAACATCAGGAGACCGCGTTAGAGCACGAGGTACGCTGGCATGGCGCACCCACACACAATCGACTCGAGTCCTCAAATACAGCTGGCACGTCACCCGATTGGCAAAACATCATGACGTCATAATGATGATTGTCAGTCACGTGAGCCAGTAAACACCGACCTAGAAGCGGAGCAACAATAACAAAAGGACAGGAGAGCAAAAAGAAACATAATATACACAAAACACACGTGGAACGTAACACATGCATAAATATAAACCACAAAAAAAGAATAAATTGTAT